CGCTCCACCTCTATGGGAATTTACAGAATACCCAGAGTGGATTGGTGGCCTAACTTGGTTTAGATTAATCAATAAATCAATAAATCTTGGGATCTAAGAACCACTTTGTCGTCCTCACAGTGTTTTGCAGCCTCTTTTCAAAAATCACCTTTCAAATCAGGGCGTTTCAATTCGGCTCGATAGTTGCCGCTGGCCATCCGCGATTCATCACCAGATGCCGGGCTTTTTGACGCGTCCAATGCACGGGCGTATTTTATCTCCACATAATCTTTTCTATCGTACTCTGCACCCTCGCTGCTGTCCACACTCTGTGCTCGCTCTCTTCCGTCGGCACACTCGTCGATATCCATGTTTTCCGTACCATGTTGGGTGAATACCGGCCGCACTAGTGGTTGCGGACCGAGTAGTAGCTCCATGGCTACCACACACTGAAAAAAAGAGAGAATTAATAAATCAGTAAATGCGACAAATCATAAGGACAAAACATATAACATTTGCTACGGCAGGCGTCAACAGATAATCGAGCAGAAGGATAGGCATTGATCAATCTTGCAATGGCGCTCAGCGCTGTTCGCGGAGTATAAACAACAGCACATAATCGCGAACATGAGCTCATTCTGGAGATCATGTTTGCGAGAAGTTCTGAGAGTCAGCCCCCCCACTCAGAGGAACTGCCCACCGTGTGGACGTTGTCAAGCTTGCTCTTACGCTTTCCTCGCCGGCTGGACAGCTGTAAGTACCCTTTTAGTCTCGAAATTACCACATAGCCTACTAAAAAAGAACCAAAAGCCTGTACTATAATTCTCCTATTCTGATGCCTAGCGCAATCCCACAGCACTCTGAAGTACTTTCTTAGACAAAATAGAAAGGTAATGAGGGCTGGTTCGAGGAAAAATGAACTAATACTAGACCTAAGGCTTGGAAAAGTTCAAAGGTACATTCCGCCACTTCGGGATGGGCGGAGACTCACAACTTCTGCGCCTCCCTTTCTCGCTGCATCGTCCATTCAGAAAGCTAAAAAGGAGAGGTACGCCGCTTACGAAGAGACACAACTTGCGAGCCTACGCCCAAGGGTTGCCGCGGATTGCCTTTTCGAGGATGCAGTATCGCATATACAGGCCGATGGTAACTACCAGGAGCATTTACCTCCTGTCCCTCGAAAAGGAAAAAAGAAGCCGTGGGTGGTAGCACATACTCGTGAACCCATGTCTGGGTGTCTTTTGCACTGAACCAATCAAAGCCACTGGCACTCCACATAAGACCCCCACTGTCCTCAAGCAATGCGGCGGTTCTCGAGCAGGTGGACTGAATGTAGATCACTAGGAACGCATGGGGGGGGGTTAATGGAGGGACACAATTTTTATCGTTTTCTCTCATGAACAAGAATAAGACAGCGTCAAAGTTCGAAATGACAGTCCACGCTGATCACATGAGTGTAGTCAGACCTACTATTGTCAGTTCCTTATCGATGGGTGCCTCAATTGCAAGACGGTAGAGGAAAGGTGCGCCGATGAGGGAGGCGCAATAGCGGGTCTGACTCCGCCCACTCAGTCAGCTTGGACTATTCCTTTAATCAAACCCTTCCTTCTCCAG